CAACCACCAGGTTTCAGTAATGGTAATGACAACACTGTATGCAGACTTTACAAAGTTCTTTATGGTCTAAAACAAGCACCATGTGCTTGGTTTCAAAAGCTTAGCTCAACTCTCCATAGACTTGGCTTCAAGGAAACCAGAAGTGACACCTCTCTTTTCACTCTTCACACACAACAATTTACAATATTCATTTTAGTATATGTAGATGATATTATCATCACCAGCAGCTCCGGTCAAGTAATTTCTCACTTAATAGCTAAACTCAATGCAGAATTTCCCCTAAAAAATCTAGACAAGTTGCATCATTTTCTTGGTCTAGAAGTTTAACTAGCTTCAGATGGTGGCCTCCAGCTCTCTCAAACAAAGTACATTTTAGACTTGTTAACAAAGATTAATGTATCAAATGCAAGGTCAATAAAAACTCCTTTTTCTCTTTCAACCAAACTTCTAGTTGATGGCACTAATCACGCTCAAGATCCTCAATTATACAGATCTGTAATAGGAGTTTTGCAGTATGCTACAATCACTTGATCGGATATTGCTTGCCCTGTTAACAGATTATGTCAATTCATGCATAATCCTCTTGAAGTTCATTGGATTGCTGCAAAGAGGATACTTAGATACTTAAATGACACCACTTATTATTGTCTCTATTTTAATAAAACAAATGATCTTAACATTTCTGCTTTCTGCGACAGTGATTGAGCCTCAAATCCCAATGACTTGAGGTCAACTTCTGATTATTGTGTGTATTTAAGAAACAACATTGTCTCCTAGACAACAAAGAAGCAAAAAGTTGTATATAAGTCAAGTACTGAAGTTGAATTTTGATCCTTATTAGTAGTAGCCTCAAAAATTGCTTATATATGAAACTAGCTCATTGAACTGCAGATTCCCATGACAAGAGTTCTACTGATTTGGTGTGATAATCAAGGAGCTGTGCTTCTTTCTGCAAATCCAGTTTTGTACAGCAAAACCAAACACTTTGAATTGGATTTATAGTATATTCGAGAGAAGGTTGCCAGAGGAGAATTGATTGTTAAACATGTACCAGCTCATTTTCAAGTTGCAGATTTACTCACCAAGGCACCTTTATCAAGCATCTTTTTGGAGTTAAGACCCAAACTCAATGTGAAACAAAAATCCACATTGAGTTTGCAGGGGCATAATAGGGAGCAGGACCAAACTTATAATTATGTTTAGTAGTTCGTTATTTTGTTAATTAGTACCTAACCATATTCTGTTAGAATCTTGAGACTTAGTATTATATATAGATTATTCTTGTTTCTGTTTGTACTAAATTTTTGATTCAGCAATGAAAGTATTTTTTAGTTTCTTCTTCTTCTCTCTTCTTTCTAACACTGAGGTCTCTCTTTTTATATGATTTAAAAATCATAAAAGCTCTTTATAATTGGGCTTTTTGCAGATAAGCATGGCCATGCTTAACCTTGATACATGGACGTGCTGGTTAATATGCACGACTGTGTATGTGTTGAAGCACTCTCATCCTCGATAATAGGATCTGGACCTGTTGACTGCTATAAAGCTTTATTTTGCAACCAATTTGAACCCAAAACACGTCTTAAACCCATCGTGACTTTTTTATGCTAAACTACACGATATACAAATAAATAAATTAGTGTAAAAACTAAATAAAATAAAGACTAAATATTAATATATGAGCTATAAAAGAAGGTCTATTATAAACTTATCAGCGCTATCACAAATTCATCAAGATGTAAATTATTCAATTTTTAGTAAAATAATAAATTAAAAATAATAATATTATTTATTTCAAAATATTTGCCTATAAAATGTTAAGTCTTGTATGTTGTAAGGTATGTATATTGACGAATAAAAATTAAAAGAAAACTCTCCTTCTATAATTTTTTTTAATAACATGTTAGAATTATGTCCGGCTGATATCAATGAATAAGAAATAGAATTGATGTGCTTTTTAAAATGACAGTAATATCTAATAATTCTCTTACTTTAACATTCTTTTTATTATTTATTAAAATTTATTAAAAATATAAAAATATGAAAGTAATATTAATTTAAAAATAAAAAAAGGTGACTTACATAATTTTCATAGTTTTCAATAAATTTAAATAACAGTAAAATATGTTGTAAGGAGTTTATTACTAATATGATTCTTGAAATTTTTAGTCCATAAATTAAGATAACGAGTTTTTTTTTTAAGTTCATGAATAAATGTGTAATTTGATCTTAATTAAAGATAACATCTTTTTTTTTATCCTTAAAATTTTTATATTATACAATTTAGTCCTCGAATGTGTTGATATACTTGTATTTTAGTTTTTTCTCATAAAAATGCAAGTAAAATGTGAATAAGTAATAAACAAACTTATAATACAAAAATTGAAAACTAAATTATACAAGGCAAAAGTTTCAAAATAAAAAAAATAATAAAATGTCAGTTTCAAAGGCTATTTTATGTATTTATTTGAAATGTGTTTTTTATTATTTAATTTGGAATTTGCTTATTCACTGTAAACTTTCACTAGGTTGATAATATATTAGCTTTTGGTTACTATCTTAGAAAGTGTATGTTTTCATTTTATAGCGTAAAAAAAATTGAAAATAAATAGATAAAAATTTGATTTCTTTTTCCTTTCTTCTTAAATCCGATATAAATAGACCCGCGGATTTAAATATTTTGAATTAATTCAATCTATAAAAATTGACCAGTGTCATTTAGTTCAGCTCACATACATGCTGTACAAATGAAAAAAAGTCCATTAATTTGTTTACTTGAACTGCTATATCAATCTTTCATTTCACTTTATGGGTATTATAAATGATGTTCAATTAAATTTATTTATCTATTAATTTTGTATGTCTTTAATGTTCAACTAGATGGGGTGACAAATGAATTTGAAATTTCTAAATATTTGTTATTTTTCTCTCAATCACGTCGAGAATGGTGGGGAGAGCATCTTGCTTCAATCAAAGACATCACTTTCACATTCTTAATGACAACTACAGGAACAAACCAAAAAAGGAAGACACGCAGTGAAAGAGGGTCCGTCTATTAACTTTTCTTCATAAATAAGTATCTGATTGAAGATACACAAAAGTGCTTGATAAAGTAGAATGTTGATATACCAAAAAATAGAAGAAGAACAATGTGGACTTTAAAAATTATCCCACATGATGTATAGTGTTTTAGTTTAGTTTGGAACTTGTTCCTCCTTGTAGCAAAACAAGAGTTTGAATATTCAATAATATATTGTTAAAAAATAACCAGTATCTTTCTGGAAACTTATGTTAATTTGTATTTTATTATAAATAATTTTAACATTAATGTTTTTATTCAAATATTAATTATTAATATCTTATTATGTAATTTAAATCTTTAATCTAATGCCTTTTTATGCCTCGTATTAATTTGGTTATATTTTAAGGAGAATCCAAGAACTAGAAACAGTTATCTTTTTGTCCCTTTGCAAAACTTTGTCAAAGAGGATTTTGAAAAGTTTGGAACGTAGTTGAATTTTGAAAGTTGAAAAGTAGTAGTTGTCAACACTAACATACAATTCACTTAAAATTATAATTATTATCATCACAATTAAGTAGTTAATAATTTCATTTTTCTCATTACTTCGGAGTTCCCTATTTTATATTTCCTTCATCGTATAGCTGTAAAGTTCGAGTTATAGGTGCCAAAAGTTAGGTTAAGGGTAGGTTCCCTCCTTGACCTCAAAACAGCACTTCAAAGTTGAAATGAATAAAATTTAACGTGTATCGACGATTCCTTTGATTCTTGGTTCCACGTTGTATACTTATATTTCAAATTTTCTTATGATTTATTTATCCGAAAACATATTAATCAGCACGCAATTAGAAAAAAAAAATTATTCCTCAAAGAAGATACGAAAACTGCTCCATTCAGCAACATGTGGACTCCATCTTATGATTATTATTGATTGTCAGATTTTTTATAGGATCATAATTCATGATTAAGTTAATGTTTTTTGGCAATATATTATAGTTATTATTATTTTATATTAGTCAAAAATCTTATGTTATGGAATAAATTACAATTTTTCTTACGTAAGCCAAAACTATAAATTTGGAAGATAACAAAATTTATTGTAATTATATGGCCTTTTTAAAAGCAGAAGATTTAAACACATTTTAATATGTTCTTAAATATTAGATAATAAATTTATAAAAATTTGAATCACATATTTATTTTAAAAAAATGTTGCAATGGACCCGTAAATAATTTTTGAATTTAATTGTCTGGAGAACAATTGTAATTTGTAAACGCTAAATCCAATAGTAGTTAAATATTAATTATTTAATTATATATATATATATATATATATATGAGAGTATGTTTGGATATATAATTTAGAACATAAATTTAATTACTAAATTTATTTAAATAACTAAAAAATAATTTATTTTAATGAATTATATAAAAAATATAAAAATATAAATTAATTTCATAAACTATTTAAAAATCTTTCTGAAATAAGTAAAAAATGTTGATTGAAAGCCGAATAGTTAAGTCAAAGGTGGTGGGTCCGCAATACCCGCATGATTATTCAGGCTTTAATTCCACGATAGAAAATGTTTTCACAAGGAGTGGCAGCCATACCCGCCGACTATCATAGGTGTTATGAATAAAATGATTAAAATTCTCTTTCCCCCCAAAACCTGCTCCTTCCATCAGAGTCAGAGATATGCAATGTGAACCAACCTGCTTCTCACTGTCAGCAACTCATAAAGTTACTTCAATCAATTAATTATGCACTCAAATTGAAAATCCTTACTTTCTGGTTTCTTCTCTATCTATCCACTAACTAACAAAATCTACACTCCTAAGTCCACAAAGAAAGATAAAACAAATTGACCAACAACATGTTACAGCATACCCCAAATCAAAAGTTTGATTATTTAAGATAAAATCTCACACGGGTGTCTCTCTTTCTGCTGCTGTTTCAAATTTCTTACTCCAAAAATCAGACATGAATTCCGTTCATCTCTTCATTTCTCTGTTTCTATTGGTTGCATTTCCCAGTCTGCAGAAGGTTCTTGGAAATGCAGAGGTTAGAGCTCTGATGGACTTGAAGGCCTCTCTGGACCCAGAGGGCAAGATCCTTAGCTCGTGGATCAGTGATGGTGATCCATGCAGTGGCTTGTTCCAAGGGATTGCGTGCAACGAGCACAGGAAAGTGGCCAACATCTCCTTGCAGGGAAAGGGTCTTTCGGGTTGGCTCTCTCCAGCAGTGGCTGAACTCAAATGCTTGTCGGGCTTATACTTGCATTACAACAATCTTTCTGGTGAGATACCCCCACAGATTTCAAATCTCACTGATTTGGTTGATCTCTATCTTGATGTGAATAGTCTATCTGGAACCATTCCTCCTGAGGTCGGCAACATGGCTAGTCTCCAAGGTAAAGTATATACAATATAGTCTTCTAGTTCTAGTATCATTTTTTCCATAGTGGTTTAATATTATACAAGATAAGTTCTTGTAAGTTTATGTTAACTTTGATGAAGAAGATACCTCTAATGCTGCATAACATTTGAATTGCCTTCAACCATATGAATCAACTGCAATTAAAAGGTTTGGACTTTAGAAATTGGTTTAAGTGTTTTCGATGATTATGTTGATACAAGTTATTTGTTTTTTCTTCAGTGCTGCAACTGGCTGACAACCAGTTGGTTGGGAATATACCTACTCAGATGGGTTCCTTAAAGCAGCTTAGTACTCTTGCTTTGCAGTACAACAAATTAACTGGTCAAATTCCTCTTAGCTTGGGGAACTTGGAGAGGCTAAGCAGGCTAAATTTGAGCTTCAACAACTTTAGTGGTATGATTCCGGCAACACTAGCACATAATGAACATTTGGAAGTTCTAGACATTCAGAACAATTCTCTATCAGGAATTGTTCCTTCGGGTATGCCTCTATCCTCCTTAGACGACTTTTTTAAAACTTCTATCAGGTTCTCACACCACCAAACTTTCCTCGCATTGTTCTTTATACATTTTAGTGTATTGTATAATTTTTATATACTGATAAAAATTTTAAAAATGAAAATGAAGCATTGAAAAGACTTGGGGAAGCATTCCAAGGTGCAAACAACCCAGGTTTGTGTGGATTTGGGTTTTCAACCTTGAGAGTTTGCAACAAAGATCAAGACTTAAAAGTCAATCATATTGACACCTCAGATCAAGGCCAACACAAAAATAGTAATCCTGCTAAGGCGCTCCCTGAGCCTGCAAATCTCCAGTGGCATTGTAACCAAATCCATTGCTCAAAATCAGGAAGGTTTCCTCAAACTGTCATCACAGCAGGTGTTATAATCATTACTCTCACATTAATATGTGCTGGATTTTTTACATTTGTCAAATACCGCCGTCAAAAGCAGAGGATTAGTAATACATCAAGTTCTTCTGAAGGGAAACTTAGTCCTGACCAGCCTAAAGAGTTCTACAGAAAAAGTCCATCTGCCCTTGTTAATCTTGAGTACTATAATGGATGGGATCCATTGTCTAATGGTCAAAATGCTGAAGCTGGGGGATTATCCAATGAATATCTAAATCAATTTAGGTTTAATGTGGATGAGGTTGAATCTGCAACACAGTACCTATCCGAAGCTAATATATTGGGCAAGAGCAAATTCTCAGCAGTTTATAAAGGGGTTCTCAGAGATGGTTCTCTTGTGGCTATTAGAAGCATTAGCGTGACATGTTGCAAAACTGAGGAAGCTGAATTTGTAAAGGGGTTGAGCTTATTAACCTCTTTGAGACATGAAAACCTTGTTAGGTTGAGAGGTTTTTGTTGCTCAAGTAGTAGAGGTGAGTGTTACCTTATCTATGACTTTGTCACCATGGGTAACCTGTCTCAATATCTTGACATAGAAGATGGAAGTGGCCATGTGCTTGAGTGGTCCAAGAGGGTTTCTATCATCAAGGGCATTGCAAAGGGTTAGTTGTTTCTAATTATCTAATTTAGTTGTTTCACCTAGATAATCGTTTCCATTTTGGTTATTGAAATGAAAGTAATGGTTACCGAAATGAAATGATAATTTTAATTGGAGAACAATATCATTAGTTCATGTTCTCATGTGTCTTAAGCTTTCCCCTTATATTTTTTAAGCAACATAAGGTACCACAAGAAAACTTCAAGCCAAAAAAAAAATTCCAGCAATGTCCTCTGTGCAAATGAATACAACAGAAAAATGACTCCAACAATAGTCAGTTTTTCAGAAAAGGACATTGGAGGAGATTACGAGTTACAATGCAGTCATTCAAACAATTGAGACTGCCTTACGATTCTTAAAATTCATGAGAACTGAATGTCATGCTGCATGAGATACTACTGTAGATAACATTTATTTCTTCTTTCTGTTTGATAGTTGCTATTCGATTGTGGGCAGGTATTGGATATCTTCATAGCAATGAAGCAAGCAAACCTACCATAGTTCACCAGAATATTTCAGTGGAAAATGTTCTCCTCGATCAACAGTTCAACCCATTGATCATGGATGCTGGACTCCCCAAGCTTCTTGCTGATGATGTGGTTTTCTCAGCACTAAAAGTAAGTGCCGCCATGGGATACCTAGCTCCCGAATACATTACCACTGGACGCTTTACTGAGAAGAGTGACATATACGCATTTGGGGTTATTGTTCTTCAAGTTCTATCTGGCAAGAAGGCAATAGGTAGTTCAATAAGAATGGCAGTTGAGTCTTTTAGATTTGATGATTCTGTTGACACAAACCTTAGGGGAAGATATTCTAAATCCGAAGCGGAGACGCTTTCAAAGCTTGCAATACAATGTACTCATGAGCTTCCTGACCAAAGGCCAACAATGGTGGATGTGATTCAGGAGCTAAGTGTGTTTCCTGCTCATTTATAATCATCATCTACTACTTTCTGTTGGTATTAAGAGACGTTAAAACTGGAAAACATTTCACAGTATCCATGGCTATTATTTCCATGAGCATATATAGTTGGCAAAATTAGCCTTTGCAAAATAATTGTAGATCTAAACGGATTCGTATCCTGTTTTGCTATGCAACAACTGGGATTGTTGAAGTATATTCTTTATCAAATTTGATTTTGTAAATCGAAGGGTGAGTTGGGTGTCAAAAGTAGAAGACCCTGTCAATTACGCTGGGTTGGGTGTCATGTTTATCGACATTTTTAATGCAATATCATTTCTTTGCCGCACATTATTATCGGTTAAAACCCAAGCTACTCAGTCAAAAGATGCACTATTTTACACTTGGCTATGTATGGTTGAAAGAACTGGCTAGAATATAGTTTTACACGAGTACAAGGTTATAGTGAAGTATGACCTCTAATCTGCCAAACACAAAATTGTTCTACATAAATAAAGGAGGAATGTTTTTTTATTTTAAAAAGAGAAAACTCTTTTTAATCTAAGATTACCGTATTCCGTAAGAAAGTCCACAACTACAGTCTTCATAGTTCCTCTTATTAAAAACTATTCACGGATTCACCCACTGGGAAGCAGTTGGATTACATTAACGCCCCCATTGACATTATTCATTCAGCCACAAAATTGTTCATAAATAGTCGCCCTTTGAACTACTTTGAGCATCCTAGGCAAAAGCAGTGTGCTGGGGATGATCTTGAAGCCATTCAGAAGGCCACCAATCTGGTCTAATAGCAACAACCTTAACATCTGCTTGTCCTTGAATGGACAAGGCACCGGACCCCTTAAAAGCTTCCTCCAGTCGCAAGAGCCCCAACCCACGACATCCTAGGGCCGTAGTCACTATACCAGCTTTTTTGCCTGATGCACTGTTCGTTACTTCTGAGCCTGGAATCACTTTGTTTAATAATTCTGGAATAGCAGAAAAGGAATGCCTCAGAATACATCATTATATAATAGACAATACTAAAGAAACCAAATACTCCTTGGCGCATTCTTACCTTTCCCATCATTTTCAACAAACCTTAGAGGAACTATACGCTTCCGAATCACCCCCCTGTGGTGTGTCCGAGCTATGAGTTCCTGGCCCACATAGCAACCTTTATCAAAGCTAATTGCATTAAGGCCTGCAAGATTATACTCAAGCGGTACTGCCTCACCTGGACATGATCAATCAATCAAGATAGTTAGAGACAAAAAACTCATCACTGAGGAGCTTATACAAGGAAACAAACTAGCACCTTTAGGAATCTCGGTTGATCCTTCTGCTACTCCCTTCTCTATTCTCCAGAGAAGAAAATTCTGTTCATCAGTCTCTTTATCAGCCTCAATTAAAGGTGCTGAAACAAATAGAAATGAGGGGGAATCATTTAGACTGAATATCTGAATATAAAACACTGGGCCATAGACACAAATTTGATTAGCAGCAAAGGAATAGATAACTAACGAGTTATATTTGATGGGAAGATCCCTCTGAAACCAAGACAGAGCAATCTGGGATCCTTAAACCACTGCCACCCACGATCACTCCCATGTGAAGACGACATTGCAGTAGGATCCACGCCAGCACCCCAGCCAACCGAGGCTGCTTCTGGTTCTTCGACACGTGAGGATTTCTCAGGAAGGCCAGCACCATAACGCTGCCAGCATGAGAAATCGTCTGAGACATTATCAATCTCAACCTTTGACCTCAACCGGTATCTGGAACACTAAAATGTTAAGAGTAGGACAAACATTAACTGCAATTAAAAAGCACAATCAAAGTATAATCTACCAAGCCAATTCATCACCAAACTTCACAACATATGAAAGGTTTGCAAGAAAAGAAAGAGTAAACTCACTTGTTGAAGGTTTGCAACAAATCATCCAACACAGAAGTATCCACATCGGCAAATAAGTCAAAGGGTTGATGGGGGTGGGACTCAGGGGCAGTGCCGGAATCATCGAGCTTGGCGTCGCAAGTGGGAGGCTTATAGAGGAAGAGGTCAAAGAGGAATCTACCTTGCGGGGTCAATAACGCAGCATAAATAGGAGGGGGCGACGCAGCAGGGACGTTGGGTGTGGGCAAATTTTCAATTTTTTCACCAATGGGTTCACCGAACTTCCGTACATCGTTGGTCAAGAGGCCCTGAAGAAACTTGAGGGTGTCGGGGCCACGGAAGCGTATAACGGAACGAGACTTGAGGAGAGAAGCCACGGGACCAGCACTTTGGAGCTGGGTTTCGCAACACTGCTTCCATGTGGTGTGGTGGATGGCTCTGCAACATCGCCGCGCAACGGATTTGGGAAATGCCACGCGATTCATGGCTCTGCTGTTTTGAGGAAAGAAGGAGAAAATGAAGAAGAAGGTGGTGGTGTTGGTTCCAGAGGTTTGGATGGGCGCGTGGGTAGTTGGTGGGTTGACACGTTTCAAGAGATGGATAGGTGTTCGATGAAAGTTGTGTAAGGGAATCCACTCGTCTCTTCCTCCCTAGTACTACACCTGTTGCTCAACCTCACCAACTCTTTGCACTTTTTTGGTGCTCCATAAAATATTATGTTATTACTTATTTAAATTCAATTAAAATTAACAAAATTTGTTTATTCTTTGCCTAATTACTCTGTAAAATTTTTAATGAACCGTTTGTGTAAAGCATGCAAGTGAAGAAGGCACGGGTAGACGAAAAAAAGGCAAATGTTACCAGAAAAAAGTTAGTTTGAGTAACAAATAGTTTAATATTTTTTAACTGAAATTTTGAGTTCAAGTCTGATCTGAATTAAATCTGATGAAAAAAAATTAATTAATATTTAAAATATAATATTAATTAAAAATCAAAATTTATTATTATATTTCTTTTAAAGTTATTAATTAAATATTTTAAAATATAAATATTAACAATTATTATCAATATAATTTTTAATACAGAATATTTTTAATTTCTTGATAAAATCTATATATAAAAAAAAAAACAAAAGAGAGCCTTTATGGCCAAAATTAATTAGTAAGGTGTAAAGATTTTTTACTCAAACTAAAATAAAACTAAACAAAATTAAAAATTATTAATTTAGGGTTTGTTTTTTGACATTTGTATGGTGCAATTGGAAGTTACATGACATTAATTTTGAAGTTGTCACGTTTCAATTGTTATCAAGGTACAACTAAGTGATAAGAATTTCATTCCAAGCTGCGGGGGAAGAAGGACGACGATGACTGCTTCTGATGTTACGACAGAGGAAGACGACCAAAAGCATAGGAGTGTTAAGAAGATTAAGAGAGGAGAGATTGACACGGAGGTGGAGGGACATTTGACGGTTGTATAGATCCGGGTCCATTCTTGACCTTTTTAAAACTTTAGACAAAATATTAAATTAGGTTCCTTTTAAAAAGAATTATACGACATAATAGAATAAAATAAAAGTATAATTTTATTAAAATAATATATTTTTAAGTAAATAAACTTTTCTAATAAAATTACAAAAAAAAATTTATTTAAACAATTTTTATGTCATTATCAATTATAAAAATATAAAAAATTATAAAAAATAGGTTTTACGAGTATTTTGAGATATAAAATCATTAATAATAATATTCAAGTTAATGTTTTTCAAAAATTCTTTCTTGATTGATAAAATAATGAATATATGCGTTGTCTTCCAACGAGTGTTAGATAAACATTTCACAGTTAATTCAGGGACATTGTCAAGCAAAATTTTCCATTTTTTTGTAGAACTTGAAAATAATGAATATATGCGTTGAACAATTCCAAAAAATGAACTAGCTCTAGTGCAAGAATGTGCCATGTCGCTAAGAGTAAGATTTAAATTATGACAAGCACAAGGCATATATAATGCTCTCGGGTTTATTTTAAGAAATTGCTTTTGCACACCATGATGCTTCCCTTTCATATTGGAACCATGATCATAACCTTGACCCTTTACATCATTAATATTAAGATCCAAAGACTTTAGAATATTTTGTAATTCATTAAAAAGTCTCAATCTCGATGTATCATCCACCTTCAAGAATTCTAAAAAGTACTCCTTAATATTTATTTTATTAGTTGACATATTCACGCATCGTATTATTAGTCATTTTTTCTTGATGAACAATATCAGGAGTACAATCAAGAATTATGGAAAAATACTTTGCCTCTTTGATAGTCTTAATTATAGAACTTTTAACACTATGGGCAAAAAGGGAAATCAATTCCTTTTGAATTTTATTCCCAAGATAATGATAATGAATTTCACGATTTTGAATGCGTCTAACATGATCTTGAATTATCACATTGAATTCAGCAATCATTTCAATCAATCCTAAGAAATTACTATTACTATCTTGATAGAGTTTTTCATGGGATCCTCGAAAAGCCAAATTATAAGTAGCAAGACATTTTACAGCTGAAAATATTCTAAGTAACACTTGCTTCCATCACTCTTTCTCTTTCATAATTGCTTCTTGCAAGCTTTTATCAATTGTTTTATTTTTATCCAACCTTACTCTCATTTCATTCCAAGTATTCATATTAGTCATATGCTCACTACTATTTTCATGGTGTTTGAGCCTCTCACTAATATGCCTCCAATCACTTAAACCCTCATTTGCTAACAAACTTTTATTATTAATAGATTTAAACAACTTGCAACAAAAACAAAAAACTTTGTCAACATGTTTAGAATAAACTAACTATTTTCTATTGCTAATCTCACTATTGCTCAACTTCTTTCAAAAATAAGAATATGAAAAATGCCTATTACTATTATCAAGAGGAAAGTCAAGATTCAATTCTCTTATAGGCCCTCTTTCAACTAAAATATCCCTTGTTTTGTTATCAAGGTTAGCCTAGGATCATAAATATTCAAAGAAGGAATTGTTTGTTCTTCATCAATACCATTATTAGTAAGAATTGTTTGTTCTTCATCAATGCCAATATCAAAAGGAATTGTTTGTTCTTCATGAGAACCAAGATTTTCAATATTAGAAACATTGGGTATATCATTAGACACATTTGAATTATTAATTTCATTATTCTCATTGACTTCATTTTGCAAACTTTCATTTGATTAATCTAAATTTTCATGAGAAATTATATTTCTTAAAATAAATTTGTCAATAGCATATTGCTGTGATTTTTTAAACTCTTCAGCATATTTTCTTTCTTTTTCTTTTTTCACTTCCAGATAAATGCTTTTTAGGCAATATTGCACATAAAAGATAAATAATGCAGTATAATCATAAAATAAGGGAAAAAGAACAATAGCACCTGGTAGAAGAATTCAAGTTGAATGTTCACTTTCAACCTTTCACATATGTAAATTTCAAAAGCATAATCCAGTCACTAGGAAACTGAAAATATAATTATGATAATCAATTAGAGAATAAGAATTAGGAAATTCAATGAAATCGTAGACTTGATTTACTACAGTACTACTCCCTTGTCCATGAACAATCCTTTGCAAGATTGGATTTTTTATAGTGTAAATGTCATAAAACGCAAACCAAGATCTCATACTCATATATTATATGTTAAAATTCCTAAAAAAGGCATAACAACATACTGCAGACTTACAGACTATAATCATATGCAGCATGCTATATATAATAATAATATACTATATTTCATAAAGGCATAACCTGATAACCACAATCCATAAATTGCAAAGTATACTATTGTTTACGATGAAAAAATTTTGTTTTTTCAACAACTATATAATATAATTCATTAAAAAAGAATAAGGGAATGACTAAATAAGGAACAGGGAGGAGGAAAGAAAGAATAAAGAAGAGTGAGGAGGAAAGAAATACCTGCAACAATGGTGATTTTGAATTATGGCAAAATGCAGAATTGCACACTACACTGTTAAAAAGTTTGGAGAAGTCAAATAGTTAATTATGTTTTTAGCAAGCAAGCCAGTAAGGTGTAATTGTGTGAGAAATTAACAGGTCTTTTTTATTTTCCTATTTGTTTCCAGCTGCAAATTACAATTAAGAGTTAAATTTTTTTTCGTACATAAAAGCATGATACAATTTTTATTTTGGAGCCTTTTTAAGTTTGGACCATTGGCGATCGCACTCTTAAACTACCCTCAAAACCGAGGCTGGACAAACTTGCCTGAAAATAAGTGGTATACAGATTATGGGGCAGGAAAGGATGGTGATGACAACGTGTTGTACAACCCATGTCCAGAGATTAAAGCGATTGATTAAGAGATCAAAGAATAGAGTAAGTCATGGAAGAGCTCCCTTATTGTAAAGCTTTTAGGGAAGAAAGTCTCCTTTCAATTCCTACAAGCTCATTTGAATCAACAATGGGGAGGGAAAAGGGCTATAAGGATCATTGATATGCCCCAAGATTACTTAGTCCAATTTTTCACTTAGGAAACGTATAATTTTGCTTTGTACGAGGGTCTGTGGATGATTGCAGGACACTATTTGATAGTGCAGAGATGGCGGGGTGGTTTCTTGGATGACCCTAAATCTATATCCAAATTAGCGTGTTGGGTGAGAATTTCAGATTTAAATTTTAAACTTAAATAATGAGAAATTTCTCTAGAGGGTGGGCTCAGCGATTGGAACGTCATTGAAGATTGATAAATTGACATTTATCCATTAAAGGAGATGATTTGCGCGTATATGTGTTGAAATCAACCTTAAGAAACGATTAGTTCCTATGCTGAAATTTAGAGGACGAATTTTAAGCTTTTAGTATGAAGGTCTTCACCAAATATGCTTCAATTATGGAACCTATGAGCACAAGAAAGATCAATGTCTATATAGGATTGCTCTTGTGACTGATAAGGGGAAAATTTGCCAATAAAGACAATGGATATGGTGGAGAAAACAACTATTGAAAAACCAGACGAGGGTGTAAGAGGAAACACATCTAGGGTTGATGTCAGCAAGCCTAAGGATGATGGGGGTACACCTCATGTAACCACCAATGGAGAAAATGTTGAAGGATCTGATCATAATCAGGAGGAGATATATGGACCGTGGATGCTTGTTACTCGACTGCAGAAGAAGAAATTTGATCCAAAAATTAAAGCATCTAAGATTAATTTGATTGGACACTCTTCACGTAGTTCTCGTTTTTCAATTTTGCATGACGCGAAACTTGTGGACAATGAGGATTCGACTAAGAAATTGGGGTCTGTTACACAAATGGGTCCCAATGGAGTTCATGAGACACATAAAGATAAAATAAGAAATACTAGTAGGGGAAGGAACTCTCAGGCCATGCATAAGGAACGTGCAGCAAATAAAAACAAGTTTGGGAGACACGTGTAAGAGACTCACGTGAAAACTGTACCTACACATAGGAATGCGCATATGGTTGAGGACACCATTGAGCCACCAATGAGTTACTCAAAGAAGTGGGGTATAGATCGTGAAGTGTGGGAAACCATAAAACGTATCGAAAAGAAGTGTGTGGAGAATGGTGTGTTGTTTGGATCTTGGTTAAATTCAATTTCAACAGAAAGGTTGG